TGAATTCAGTGAAGTTGCAGGGTACAAAATCCATGTACAGAAATCTGCTGCATTTCTCTACACTGATGAGGAAGCAGCAGAGAAAGAAATTACGAAAAGAGCCCATTTACAATTGCATAAAAAAAAATAAGATACCTAGAATAAACCTAACCAAAGAAGTGAAAGATCTGTACTCTGAAACCTATAAAACACTGATGAAAGAAGAAATTCAAGACGACACAAAGAAATGGAAAGACATTCCATGCTCATGGATTGGAAGAATAAATACTGTTAAACTGTCTATACTACTCAAAGCAATCTACACATTTAATGTAGTCCCTATCAAAATACTGACTACATTTTTCACAGAGGTAGAACAAACAATCCTAAAATTTGTATGGAACCACAAAAGACCGCAAATAGCCAAAGCAATCTTGAAAAAGAAAAGCAGAGGTGGAGGCATCACAATTCTGGACTTCCAAGTTCTATTTCAAAGCTGTAGTAATCAAAACAGTATGACACTGGCACAAAAACAGACACACAGATCAACGGAACAGAACAGAAAGCCCAGAAATAAACCCATAAATATATGGTCAATTAATCTTTGACAAAAGAGGCAAGAATATGCCTCCTATGGAAAAAGATGGTTTCTTCAACAAATGGTGCTGGCTCAACTGGACAAATAAAAGGATGAAACGACCACTTTCTTACACTATACACAGAAATAAGGTCAAAATGGATTCAAGACCTAAATGTGAAACGTGAAACTATAAAAATCCTACAAGAGAACACAGACAGTAACTTCTTTGGCCACAGCAACTTCTTTCAAGATAGGTTTCCTGAGGCGATGGAAACAAAAGCAAAAATAAACAATCAGGACTACATCAACAGAAAAATCTGCACAGCAGGGGAAACAATCAACAAAACTAAATGGCAGCCTATGGAACGGGAGAAGATATTTGCAAATGACATATTGGATAAAGGGCTAGTATCCAAAATATATGAAGAACTGATCTAACTTAACACCCAAAAAACAAATAATCCAATTAAGAAATGAGAAGACATAAACAAACATTTCTCCCAAGAAGACATACAGATAGCCAACAGAAGAGACAACATGAAAAGATAATCATCACCTATTATCAGGGAAATGCAAACCAAAACTACAATGAGGTATCACCTCACACAGGTCAGAATGGCTAAAGCCAACAGCACAAGAAACAACAGATGCTAGAAAGGATGTGGAGAAAAATGAACCTCATGCACTGTTGGTAGGGATGCAAAGTGGTGCAGCCACTGTGAACAGTGTGGAGGTTCCTCAAAAAGTTAAAAACAGACAACTACCTTATGATTCAGCAATCACACTACTGGGTATTTACCCAAAGAATACAAACACACTAATTCAAAGGGATACACACACCCCTATGTTTATGGCAGCATTATTTACAACAAACAATTTATGGCAGCATTATTTACAACAAACAATGGAAGAACCCTCAGTGTCCATCAATAAATGAATGGATACAAAAGATGTGTTTTACACACACACACACACACACACACACACACACACACACACACAGTCAGTCATGAGGCACCTGGGTGGCTCAGTTGGTTAAGCTACCAACTCTTGATATTGGTTCAACTCATGATCTCACGGTTGGTGAGATCAAGCCCTGCATCGGGCTCTGTGCTGACAGTGTGGAGTCTCCTTGGGATTCCGTCTCCCTCTCTCTCTCTCTGCCCCTCCCCTGCTTGCACTTTCTCTCTAAACAAACAAATGTTAAAAAAAAAAAAAGAAAGACAAATATATGATTTCACTCATATGTGGAATTTAAGAAACAAGCAAAGGGGGGAAAAAGAGATAAAGTAAGAAACACACTCTTGTAGAGAACCACCTGATGGTCCCCAGAAGGGAGGTGGGGGGAGGATGGGGAAACAGATGGTGGGGATTAAGGAGTGCACATGTGATGAGCACCCGGTGATGTGTAGAAGTGCTGAATCACTACATTGTACACTTGAAACTAATATTACACTGGATGTTAACTAACTGGAATTAAAATGAAAACTTAAAAAGAAAAAAAAAATCTCCATTTGGTAACCATCACAGTAATATTTGATTCAGGCATGAATTAGTTTTTGGTCAAGTGACAGATGCAAAAACCAGAGGGTGAAAATTTGAAGAATGACAGGATTTTTACACAGTCTCAAAGTATCTCCCTCCGAGACATTTCACTCCACAGACAGAGTCACTTCACGGGAGAGAAAGTTGGCAGACACCTCCCTAACCTATGGTCCCAATAACGGGACAAACAGACATCATGTGCTTCCTGATGGGACTCAATGTAAGAACATACTGACAATGCATAACCAGAACGGCTATCAAGGTCAAATAACGAATCTCTTTCTTAGTGAGTGTCATGGCCATGAAAGACAAAGATCAGAAAGCTGGCTCCATTAAGAGTCTCAGGAGACAGGGTAACTATGTGATCCAGGGTCTTCTAAGAGACAAAGAGCAGCACCGAGACAAAAGCCTAAATCCAAATAGGGTCCGCAGACTGTAAAACAGCACTGTTTCAATGTCAGTTTCCTGATTTTGACATCTGCATTGTGGTTATATATGAGAATGCCCATGTTTCTAGGAAGTATATACTGAAAGGTATATAGTGAAATATTTACAGGTGAAGGGGCATCACATGTGTTGCTTACTCTCCAGTGGTTCAGGAAAAAAGGCTGCACAAATAGATACAATGACAGAGTGAATGTGATGTAACGTTGGTGTTTGAAGACACTGCATGAAGGCTCTATGGGAATTCTGGGACTATTCTTGGAAGATTCTAAAATTATCTTAAAAAGAAAAAAACAAGAAGTTTTTCCTATCCTTCAGGATCCCCAGAGACGGAATTTGTAACGGGTGAGGTACTGATCTGAATCTTGTTGTGTGGGAACCAATCCCCCCGAACCACTCACCTCTCATCTCAACGGGGCGGCTCCACACTGAGGACCACACAGGCCAGGAGCTACCAGAGGGGACCGCACGGGCCGGGAGCTATCACAGAAGAATTCTAAAACTCCTGGCCTCAGAACAGATGCCCAGCACACCTAAAATAAATCCAAACCCTATCCGGCTCTACAAAATCACCACGATCTCCCACCTGTCTACTCTGTGACCTCCTTCCCTACCTCTCTCCTCCTGACTCGCCTTCTCTTGCCCCTTCCAGCCTTCTGCTCCTTAAAGAAGCACAGCCCATCCCTGCTGCAGTCAGTATGTGTGCGGCCCCCTGTGCCTCACGTACCTTCCCATAGACCGTCCCACTCTGTACGGTCAGCTCCTCTGAAGGACCTTCCCTGACCAGCCCATCTCCTCATCTCACTTCCTGTGAGCATCATCCTTGTGCCTGGCTTTTCTTTCATGGCACTTCTCATCTAACGTACTACATGTCTATTTCTATGCTCTCTCCTACTGTCACGTGACCCCCACATGGGCAGGGACTCCCTGCTGTTTCCCCAAGGCTGAAAGCAGTGCTTAGTATGTAACAGGCACCAAAACTGTGTTTAGAGGATGAACGAATGAATGGACTGCATTTATTTTTCTTTACATCTCAGTACAAGGAGAACTAAAATGACTAACACTGTGCCTCGCTGATGATTGTCCTTGGAAGTGACAAGCAAGCTGAGACCTGAGAGGAAGTAGGAGCCAATGAGGCAGAGGAGGTGGGAGCTGAGGGAACGTGTGTGGGAGGAAGTGAGCCTGTACAGAAAGATCAATGCAGCATGGACAGGGGGGCCGAGTGGTTGGCTCAACGTGCAGACGAGGGCACACACCAGGAAGAGTCCTGCAGCCCAAGGAGCCTGGATCTTTAAGGGCAATCAAAAACCACTGGACAGTTTCATAGAAGAGTGACCACCAGATGTGCTTCTTTTACAGGCCACTTTTTAGAAGCGGAAGTGTCCTGATGAGACAGAGAACGACCTTACAGATTACGTAGGACACGGAGCCAAAAAGAGTGCTGAGTGCGTATTCAGATTATTTTCTGGAAATCTTACAGTAAGGTATTTTCTGAAAATACAAGGCTACGATGATATGAAGAACTCTGGCAGTTTAGTGTTGCATTAATGTGAAAGTGCAGCCAAGTGCAAAGTACAAGTCTCGGGCTCAAATCCTAACTGTTACTTTATAGCACTGAGCCCTTGAGCAAATTACCTCAATTTCCTGGGCCTCAGTTTTCTCATCTGTAAAGTAGGGTAACACTTCCATCTTCAGAGCTGTGACTTGACTGAAATAAGCAAGCTACCAATGCCTGGCACGTAAGAATTAGGAAAAAAGTCCTTCATTAGCATGGCCTCTCTGTGATTCTGAATTACCGCCACCTCATGGCAGGACCCTGCAGGAGCACCACCTCACAATCAATCCTGCACACACCGCACAGGGGGATCCTGCATTACCGTCGCCTCATGGTGCCACACCGCACAAGCACTGCCTCACGGTGTGATCCGGCATTACCGGAACGACACGGTAAGACCCTGCGGGCTCACCATCGCATCATGTGACCTGCACCACGGTCTCCTCACGGTGCGATCCCGCACTACCCGCACCTATGGCAAGATCCTCCGGGAGCACCATCTCACTGTGCTCCTGCATACCAGAGGCCCACAGTGGGATCCTGCAAGAGCACCGTGCACGGTGTGACACTGTTTTGTCAAACCTTTCCCACGTGTGGTTCCAGGTTTCAAGAAACCTGAGGTAACCTAGGCTACAGTTATATTTACGTTGTAACAGGGGCTAAAAACACTGCCTGAATTTTGAATGAATTAGACTACACATTTTAATTCACTGGGGTGCATACGTTTTAAGACTCTTCTTAAAATCCATTGTATTTTTTTAAGATTTTATTTTCAAGCAATCTCTACATCCAACGTGGGACTCGAACCAACCCCCTGGGCACCCCTTAAAATCCATTTTAAAAAATGATCTTCAAAACATAAAAAATAATCCCTAGCTTATTGAAATGCAGTCTCACCTCTTCAAGAGAAGATTCTAGATTCATTCCAAAAGCAACTCCCATTAGTCCAAAGAGTGAAAGAGAGAAGGTTCCCATGGTCAACTGCAGGTTCAGCCTCATCATCACATTACGGTGGCTGGAGAGGAGAACATGTACTTGGATGAGAAGGGCCCGCTAGCCATACAGCAAATTCACGAAATAATCTATTGGAGGCCACACAGATTAAATCTACACCTTAAAAAGAGGACATACTCCCATGTGGCATTCATAGATGATGATGTAACTCCTCCCAAAATGACGGGGCCTTAAAAGCTTTATCACTTTAGAATTACTTTAAAAGAAAATATTTACTGACTGATTTATAGAATGCTTTCTTACCTGTCCAGATTGATGAATATGATACTCTGTGAATCATCAATCAGTGCCCTGAGTTCCCGAGCTGCATTGGAAAGATCCTCAGCTAATCGGTAGTAGTTTTCCAACAGCAACTCCATCTCTTCTGCATGGTCGATTCCTGCACTGCTCTTTTCACTTCAATTAAAAGCGTTAATGTAATTAACATACCCCCAATACATGCATCACACATTCATACCAAAAACTTCCTGATTCTGTATACAATATTCAGCTACCAATGACAAAACTGGCCTTTGTCTTTTCTTTTATTGTGATGGAGGTCAGTCTGTGAGTGGCTTTGTCAGGAGACCCCAAGCACTATTAGACTAAGTGGGGCGGGGCGGGGGATGGCACAGGTCCTATCCCCAATGCAGGATAGCCGGGTTCACTGTATTCCAGGGCCCCAATTCACAGGATTCTCATGCAAATATGCACTACCACCTATAGGAAAATCCAGATGTGTAAATTCTGGTGAAGGAGTGCAAATTAGTGCAAATCAGGTAAAACTAAAAACGAACATAGCATTTCCTTTCCAAGATAGATACCTAATGTTAGTTTCATATAGGAAGAAAAGTGTTCTTTTTTTTTTTTTTAATTTTTTTTCAACGTTTTTATTTATTTTTGGGACAGAGAGAGACAGAGCATGAACGGGGGAGGGGCAGAGAGAGAGGGAGACACAGAATCGGAAACAGGCTCCAGGCTCCGAGCCATCAGCCCAGAGCCTGACGCGGGGCTCGAACTCACGGACCGCGAGATCGTGACCTGGCTGAAGTCGGACGCTTAACCGACTGCGCCACCCAGGCGCCCCAAGAAAAGTGTTCTTGAATGAGGTCAATAGTTATTTTGTGAGCCTTTACTTACACTCCCTACCACCCTACCATAGGGAGTAAGTAGGAGTGAAGTGCTCTGTGAAAGACACTTACAAAGTATATTAGACACAGACTGGCCTAATAAAAAGCAAATAAAAGTGTGTTCAAGTTCCTGCTATTATTTCTCTCTGCTATAATAGCCCTTTTAATCTTAATTTTTCCTTTTTAAAATATAGGTAACTAATGTCTCAAAATGCTTTAAAAAATCTGTACAGACTGTGGAAACTATGGACGTGACAAAGATGTCTCCATTAATTTCTAAAACTCATCTACAAAGAACAAAAAAATATTGAGTACTTAAAAAGTAAACATTTAACTTGAGTGGGCATAAGGAGAGTAAATGATTTCTAATTTTGTAAGAGATAAAAGATTTATAAGATAAGCGTTTTTACACTAGACAAAAGATACAGAACATATGTCCATGTCTTCCCTTCCTTCGCCGCCATCTCCCCATCCCCACGTGAATATTTCCCTCTCTTCCACTGTGCTCCCTAGGTTGTCTGGGTAGATGTGTGGGCCACTTTGGTGGCCAGTCCTTTGAAGATACAGGTAATGGTGTGTTTATACTCATCGTAGACCAGCACAGTGTGCACTCAATATATCCTTTTTACACTGAATAAGATGCAATACATATGGGGAAACAGTGAAACCACCGGGGATAAAAGGTGCCTCTATTTTCTGCTTTTCAGAAAACATTACGTTCTCTATGAAAAACCACCCTGAGGAAGACAGGTGACAGATCCTACCAAAATAAGTAGCAAAGCACGACTACATACTCACAAGACTTGTGGGTCACTCCACTTTGTTAGACAGAGCTCCTCCAGCCTCTCTTCTTCATCCAAGATCTCCAAAATGGACTCTTTGAAAATTTTGATATCGGTTTCTAACTCTGACAGACTAGAAGAGTAGTTGTATGGAAATGATCAATAATATAAACTTACACATTTCACTACAAGAAAAGTGCCTTTTTAAAGTATCTTATCAAATTGATCACTTATACATTGATGGTAAACACTGACTTGTAAAAAAATTTTGATATTTACCATGCACATTAAGAATCAATTCCCAAACCAAAAATACATTAAAGACCCTAATGCAGCATTTCATGCAAAACAGCTTTTCAATAAACATTAGCCCGTGTGCCCTTTTTAGCTCAACTTCCCACCTAGGCTACTTTCCTATTTTGAAGACATGGAGAGTAAGTCGTTATCATTACCAAGACTAGTTGGTATTTTTAAAACAGGTAACAAACATATTAATTTTGTATCTGAATTTATACAATGCATTTCACTGTTGTGTCTATCTCCCAAATAGGTAAATCACCTGTATTTACCTTTTGCCATTTTGTAGCAAGATGTGCAGTTTGCTTCTGTCTACAGAGGAATGTTTGGGATCCACTAAAGCTTCCAATGTCTCAAGGATCAGTGGTTGCAAAACGCTAAGTTTCCCCTGAAGAGTGCTGATCTAGATAACAACATGACCTTTCATAAGAATTAAAACAATATTTTTAGAATACTCAGGGTCAGTGATCTATCTTCTGATTAAACACAAAAATCTGTAATGGCTGGGAACACGTCACTGCTGGAATGCTGACTCTGGACAATTCAAGAACTACATCTACCAGGTTATGAGATAAGCACACGTGATGTTGTCATCACCCGGCTTGCACTTGGTCAACAGGGAATCAGCTCTCATACAGTCTTCCTGCATAAACACTCATTATGAAAGGAACACAGGACTGACGGACTAAAAGTAAACCTGCCATTCCACGGCTACAACACAAACTCTACAGTTGATAACCCATGTTCTCGGTCAACAGAATGCAGTTCAAAATTCCTATATAACAAACTCTTCTGAAAATCAAAACTTAACTTGGGACTTTAAAAAAACAAATCAGTGTCAAGTCAAAGTCTATTATTCAGGTATATAGAAGCATGGCAGACATTCAGCAAGAAAGCACTGACAGAGCTATTCCAGTGGTTAAATATGGATATAACAGTTGGTACAGAGTGTAACAGAATTAAGCAGTAATTAGTAAAACTAGTTAATGCCATAAATCCCAGCATTTACTGTTGGTCTCAGCATGAGAACCGAGAGCTTCCTCAGCCTATGTAACCTGTCACTGACCCCTGGCTGCACCTTCTCTTCTCTCCGTCCCCTGCTCCAACTAGTCACCATTGCATGGGCTCATACTAGCTTGAGCTCCTGCTTCATTAGCCCGGGTTGAGTGGGGGATGCAGCCATTTCCGGCTCCCTCAGTACAGCAGGGCAGACGAGAGAGAAGGGACGCAGGTTCACCCGGTCCTCACCCACTGTGCGTGCTCTTTCCCTGCTTCCTTCCCTCACTCTGGTTAGCATGCTCCTAAAACTGTTGCATGCAGCTAGCTCCGGACACTAACCTAACGAGAAGGACAGATAATGAACAATCTGTGGGGGCCAGGAGGCCAGTGACCATCCTTGTTCAGGGCCTGACAGGGTCTCCAAACACTCAGTGACTATCAACATAATGGGGGAGTCATTAGAAGAATTACACGTGGCTCCTAGGTCAAACTACGTCTCAAACAGTGGCATCACTAGCTGTCTCAAACAAAGCATTGTACAAACAGAGTGATGTGGAAAGTATTAGAATGATCTGATGAGTGATCTGAGCTATAACATTTATCATGTATATGCGGTTTTACAATATACAATTTAGTTACAGAATAAAATGGAATATATTTAAAACTTTTTTGATATGTTCTCTTGTATGATACTTAGGATGTTAAATATTTTGAATTATTAGCCCCGAATACAGTTATCAACACTGCACAAAGGACAGCCAACTTAAAATGTGCTTAAGGGAATGTCCTAATAGGACTCTTAAAGAAACTTTGTAAACTATACCTAGGGACCTTAGATCTATTTGATTGGGTCATATAGCTTAAGAATTAACTTCTTTCAGTTGTGGTTTATATACACAATGGAATACTACGTGGCAATGAGAAAGAATGAAATATGGCCTTTTGTAACGTGATGGAACTGGGAGAGAGGAGAGATGCTATGAAATAAGCCATTAAGAGATACCATATGGTTTCTCACTCTTATGTGATCTTGAGAAACTTGGAATAAAACTCTATGGGGAGGAAGGAAAAAAGCAGGTTAGAGGGAGAGCCAAAGAATATATCTGTTAAAAAACTGAGAACAAACTGAGGGCTGATGGGGGGGTGGAGGGAGGGAGGCAAGGGGTGATGGGTAAAAATAGAGGAGGAGGGTAACCTTTTGGGATGAGCAGACTGGGTGCAAGCGGAAACCACCCCATAGTAAATTTGTTTGGAAAAAAAAAGAATTAACTTCTTTCTCTATACAGGACCCTTAGAGATGTTTTTGTTTGGAGGCAGGGTGTGGTTAGGGAAAGTGCCACTGCAACACACACACAATCTTTTTTTTTTTTTTTTTTTTTTTAAAGCTTATTTTTGGGACAGAGAGATGAGCATGAACGGGAGGGGCAGAGAGAAAGTGAGACACAGAATCGGGAAACAGGCCTGGTGCTCTGGAGCCATCAGCCCAGAGCCTCAATGCTGGGCCTCGAATCACGGATCATGGTGATCATGACCTGGCTTAAGTCGATATTAACCCCACTGCTGCACCCAGGCGCCTAATTCAACTTAGAATTCAAACGAGACAAAGAACAGGGACACTCAGTCGGTTAAGTATCCAAATTCCGCCTCTTCAGGTCATACATCTCACCCCTGCTTGTAATTAATCTCAATACATTGGGCTCTGTGCTGACAGCTCAGAGCTCATCCTGCTTTTGGTCTGTGGTCTCCCTCCTTCCCCTGCCCCTCCCCCACTTGTGCTGTCTCTGTCTCTCAAAAATAAATAAATGTTAAAAAAATTTTTTTAATAAACAAGAACAAATTCAAGAAGCTAAATAAAAATATAGGCTTACCCAATATTGTAGGAGTGCTTCTATAGCCCTGAACTCAAAAGGTAAAGGGTATGTGACAAGTTGTCCTTCTCCAGCCAACTGTGAGGGGAGTTCCCGGAATAGCCATTGCTCTAAATTTAAATTCCGATAATCTAGTATCAGAAGACACTCTGGAGTTATCACAGCTTTCAAATACTGTAAAAAAAAGAAATCATATATATGTATACACAAACACATACACATGCATATATGCAAGTTATAGAGCTGCAGGAGAAGAGTAACAGCCATAAAGTAGGGTTTAATACTTTTTTAAACTTGGATTAAGCCTAAACCAAATCATTGTTAATTAGGTTTTTTTTTTAAAAAAAACCCTAAAATATACTTTTTAAAGAAAGGAAGCCTAAAATATATGTAAGTCTTGATACCTCTAACCCTCAACAGAACTGGAATCAAACTACATATGAAGACTTACGGGTAATCATGAGAGTAACAGGGAACAAAGAAAAGGTTTTCTTAAAAGTCACGTTTTGGTGGACTTTCAGAAATGACTTAATCCTGATTAGTTTGGCTGAAATGGGAAAGTTGCCTTTTTAAAATGTTACCAAAACATATTAAGCTATTTGAAAATATAAAGACAAAACATAATCTTAATGCTCTAATTTAGAACACCATGAAATTAGAAATTTATTCTAAAGACTGGCATCCTTTTAGTGAGAAGAGTCATATGGACAGGTAGCCTGTGGCCACTGTATTAGTGACATAAAAATTAGAGATTTTTCACATTTTTTTCCTAACATTTTATGACATTTTTTATACGGAAAAGTTGAAAAATCACAGTGAACACCTACATACATATCATTTAGACTGTATAATTAGCATTCTGCTAAATTTGCTTTATCACACACTTCTCCATCAAAGAGATAATTTTTTAAAAATTATCAGGGGAAAGAGTTATTTTAATTCCAGTATACTTAACACAGTGTTATGTTAGTTCCAGGTGTACAATATAGTGACTCAGCAACTGTATATGTTACTCAGTGTTCATCATTGTAAGTGTACTCTTAATGCCCTTCACCTCTTTCACCCATCCCCCCACCCTCTCCACACTGGTGACCACCAGTGTGTTCTCTGTAGCTAAGAGTCTGGTTTTTTGGTTTGTGCCTTTTTTACTTTGTTCATTTTTGTTTCTTAAATTCCACATGAGTGAATACATATGGCACCTGTCTTTCTGACTTTTTTCACTTACCATTACATTCTCTAGCTCCATCCATGTTGTTACAAATAGCAAGATTTAATACTTTCTTATGGCTAATATTCCATTGTGTGTGTGTATACCTCACTTCCTTTATCCATTCACCTACTGATGAACACCTGGGTTGCTTCCATAATTTGGTTATTGTAAATAATGCTGCTATAAACACAGGGGTGCATATATCTTTTCAAGTTAGTGTTTTCGTTTTCTTTGGGTTAATACCCAGTGGTGTGATTGCTGAATCATAGGGTAGTTCTATTTTTAACTGTTTCAGGGATCTCCATACTGTTTTCCACAATGGCTGTACCAGTTTGCATTGCCACCAATAGTGCACGAGGTTCCTTTCTCTCCACATTCTCACCAACACCTGCTGTTTCTTGCATTTTTGATTCTAGCCATTCAGATAGCTGTGAGATAATATCTCACTGTGGTTTTGATTTGTATTTCCCTGATGATGAGTGATGTTCAACACCTTTTCATGTGTCTGTTGGCCATCTGTATGTCTTCATTGGAAAAATGTCTGTTCAGGTCTCTGCTCATTTTTTAATTGGATTATTTGGTATTTTTGGTGTTGAGCATGGATTGGAGATAGTACCAGAAGTGCCAGGCCCTGGGGAACAAGGGAAACTACACTGCAGACACTACACAGGACCTCTTCTTCATAAGAACATTCCCTTCAAGGACAGGAGATGTAGCTGACTTTCCTACACACAGAAACAGGTAGAGATACTCATACAGAATGAGAAGACAGGGAATTTGTCCCAAGTAAAAGAACAGGACAAGGCCATAGCCAGAGATCTAAATAAAACAGATATAGGTAACAAACCTGATGGAGAATTTAAAACAATGATCATAGGGATACTCAATGGACTTAAGAGTGGACAACAAGTGAGACCCTTGACAAAGAGATGAGGAAACATAAAGAGATAAAGGGCTCAATACATGAAACGAGAAACATTTCGCTTGATGGAATAAACAGCAGGCTGAAGAAGCAGAGGAATGAATTAATGACCTAGAAGACAGAATAATGTAACCAAGCTATACAAAGGGGAGAAAAAAAAATTATGCAACAGGAGAAGAGCCTTAGGAAACTCAGTGACTCCATCAAACATAATAACATTCGTATTACAGGAACCCCAAAAGAAGAGAGACAAAAGGAGGTAGAGAATTTATCTGAAGAAAAATAGCTGAAAACTTCCCTAATGTGGGGAAGGAAACAGATATCCAGATTCAAGAGGCACAGAGAACTCCCAACAAAATCAACATAAGCATATCCACACGAAGACCTATTGTAATTAAAATGGCAAAATACAGTGATAAAGAATATTAAAAGCAGCAAGACAATAGAAGACAGTTACATACAAAGGAAACTCCATAAGCCTAGCAACAGATTTTTTTCAGCAGAAATTTTCCAAGACAGAGAGATGGCATGATACATTCAAAGTACAAAATGGGAGAAACCTGCTGCCAAGAAAGAATACTCTATCCAGGGGCTCCTGGGTGGTTTAGTTGGTTGAGCGTCAGACTTTGGCTCAGGTCATGATCTCATAGTTCGTGAGTTCGAGCTCTACATTAGGTTCTGTGCTAACTCTCAGAGCCTGTAGCCTGCTTCAGATTCTGTATCTCCCTCTCTCTCTTCCCCTCCCCCGCTTGTACTCTGTCTCTCAAAAACAAATAAATATTTTTTTTAATTTTTTTTTAATGTTTTATTTATTTTTGAGACAGAGCATGAACGGGGGAGGGGCAGAGAGAGAGGGAGACACAGAATCGGAAGCAGGCTCCAGGCTCTGAGCCATCAGTCCAGAGCCCGACGTGGGGCTCGAACTCGCGGACCGCGAGATCGTGACCTGAGCTGAAGTCAGCCGCTTAACCGACTGAGCCACCCAGGCGCCCCTGAATATTTTTAAAATATTAAAAAAGAGAATACTCTATTCAGCAAGGCTGTCATTCAGAATTGAAATAGAGATAAAGAGTTACCCAGGCAAACAAAAACTAAAGGAACTCATGGCCACTAATCCAATCCTGCTAGAAATGTTAAAGGGGAATCCTTGACTGCAAAGGAAAGACCAAAAATGACAGTATGAAGGTAAGAAACACAAAATCAGTAAAAATGAACATTTCTGGAAAAAAAAAATCAGTCAAGAAACTCACAAAATAAAAGGACGTAAAATATGACATGTATACCTAAAATGTGGGGGCAGGAGGGGAGAAGTAAAGAATGGGTCCAAACTTAAATGACCATCAACTTAATACAGACTGCAAAAGACGTTGTATATAAACCTAATGATAACCAGAAATCAAAACCAATGATATGAAAAAAATAAAGAGAAAAGACTCCAAGTATATCACAAAAGAAACCCAGCAAACCATGAAAGAAAGAAAGAAAGGATCAGAGAAAACCTTCAGAAACAACCACAAATCATATAAATGGCATAAATACATTATTTTGAATGTAAATGAACTACACACTCCAATCAAAAAACACAGAGTAACAAAATGGATTAAAAAAAAAAAAAGACCAATCTATATGCTGTCCATAAGAGATGCATTTTAGACCTAAAAATACATGCAGATCAAAAGTGAGGGGGTGGAAATATTTGTCATGCACATGGAAGTGAAAAGAAAGCTGGGATAGCAATATTTAGATCACATAAAATAGATTTTAAGAATGTAATCAGGGCACCTGGGTGGCTCACTCTGTTGAATGCCCGACTTTGGCTCAGGTCATAATCTTGTGGTTCATGAGTTTGAGCCCTGCATCAGGCTCTGTGCTGACAGCTTATAGCCTGGAGCCTGCTTTGAGTTCTGTATCTCCTTCTCTCTCTGCCCCTCCCCTGCTCACACTCTGTCTCTATCTCTCAAAAATAAACAAACTTAAAGTTTTCAAAAACAAACAAAAACTGGGGTGCCTGGGTAGCTTGGTCGGTTAAGCATCCGACTTCGGCTCAGGTCATGATCTCACGGTCCGTGGGTTCAAGCCCCGCGTCAGGCTCTGTGCTGACGGCTCAGAGCCTGGAGCCTGTTTCCAATTCTGTGTCTCTCTCTCTCTCTGCCCCTCCCCTGTTCACGCTCTCTCTCTGTCCCCAAAATAAATAAACGTTAAAAAAAAATTTAAAAAAAACAAAAAACAAAAACGAAGACTGTAATAAGAGACAAAGAGAGACTCTATATAATTATAAAAGGGACAATACAACAAGAAGATGTAACAATTTTAAATATTAACACACCCAACATGGAAGCAACCAAATACATAAAATAGTTAAACATAAAGGAACTAAGTGAGAATAATACAATAAAAATAGGGGACTTTAACACCTTACTTATATCAATGGACAAATCATCCAATCAGAAAATCAACAAGTTAGGGGCGCCTGGGTGGCTCAGTCGGTTGAGCGGCCGACTTCAGCTCACGTCAGGATCTTGCGGTCCGTGAGTTTGAGCCCCGCGTCGGGCTCTGCGCTGACAGCTCAGAGCCCGGAACCCACTTCCGATTCTGTGTCTCCCTCTCTCTCTGCCCCTCCCCTGTTCACGCTCTCTCTCTCTCTCTCTCTCTAACATAAACATTTAAAAAAAATAATAAAAGAAAATCAACAAGTTAGGTGATGGGCATTGAAGAGGGAATCTTTTGGGATGAGCACTGGGTGTTGTATGGAAGCTAATTTGACAATAAATTTCAGATATTTAAAAAAAAAATCAACAAGGAAACAATGGCTTTTTTTTTTTGAGGAAAAAGAGAGAGAGGCAGA